CTTGCTACAACATGAATGAACATGGAGGACATCATGCTAAGTGAAAAAAGCCAAGCATGGGAAGACAAACACCACATGATCTCACTTGTACATGGAATCTTAAAAAGTCAAACTCACAGAAGCAGACAGCAGAATGACAGATACCAGAGCCTGGAGAAGAGGGAGCAATGGGGATATACTGTTCAAAGAGTACCAAGTTTCAGACAGATAGAAGGAAGAAATTTTTAGATTAAACAACTGTCAATAATCATGTATTATATATTTTAAATAACTAAATTTCAATTGTCTCACCACAGAAAATAATCAAGGTGATATGTTATTCAGCTGTACTTAATAATTCCACACTGTGCACACATTTCAAAATATCACCCTGTACCCCATAAATGTATAAAAATATGACTGTCAATTAAAATAATATTAAAACAGAAAAAATTCTTTAAGAATGTTTATCAATATTCTTCTTGGTTTGTCAAAAGATGCCAAGTAAGGCTGTGTGTAGAGGGGCAAGCCAAACTCATTTTAGACACTGATGTCTTGCCACTCCCATTATAAAATCCCTTTCCTACCTCTTAACACTCTCTGAATGCCAGTGGACCTATGGTCTTCTTGATTTGGTTAGTAGCTCTTGCAATGTCATTAATAATTAAAGAAATAGCTTATATAGCTTAAGGATTAATCTACCCCAAGAGCATTTCTATTACAAATATATTAATCAACAAAACCAAGTCACAATATTTTACTAAGCACTTACGGGCAAGACAGCTGTGTGTGAGTGTGGATGTATGTGCATGTGTGTGTTCAAAAGGACTCCTGGATGTTCAGGGAGCCTTTCTTGACACATAACTCATCACTCAGGCTTTCCCTAAGTGAAATACAGGAAAGTATATTCATCTCCATGGTTAAATGACTTTGCAATATGCTGTAAATTCTATCATCTTCTTTGAAAATAAATCACCTATCAAAAGCTATGGGAAGTCCTCCAGAGAAGAAACCTGTTAACTTTCTTTAGGCAAATATCCTCCAAATTTATTTCAACTACAAAACCTTTTACTTCTTTAACAATTACTAACCTAGAACCTATCAAAGTGTTGCAGTTTATGCCTTTTCCCATTTGTATCAGATCTGTTAACTCTGAGAATCAGTGTTAATATTGAAAATTCAACAAATCTGGATGGAAGTAACAATACAAATAGAAACTATTATTACTTAATAGTCACTTAATGATCCACATTTACAAACAACTAACAACTTTAAATAACTACACTTTTTATTATTTTTTAAAACACAGGACAAGTGACAACAGGTTGATAACTGGTTTTTATGCAAAAACAACCTCCAAAGTATGCCACAACACTGGAAAGTATTCAGCACATTTTCCCACATTTCTTACCTTTAGTTTTCTGTAATAATAAATGCTCAGAATTATAATCCTAATTGCTCCTGAATTATCAAGAAAAGTTTCAAAGTGTGTTTAATGAAAATTCACTGATAAATATTTCATTATCTTCTAATGTTGTGAAAACTCAAATTAATTAAAACAAATTATCAGGTAAACAAACATCCCATGCCCTAATTTTGATATATGAAGTTTACTGTTAGGAAAAAAAAGATAAGAAAAGAAGAGATAGAGGGAGAGTGGAGTGAGTATTAAATAAATTTCATATACACTATAACAAATTTTTTGCCAAGTATAGTAGGAGTCACATTAGGAGTAGGAAGTCCTAACAGGAGCAAGGACAACAGAAGGAGAAAAAAATCTAACATTAAAAAAAAATAATAAAATCTAGCTAGACATTACATACAGCTCATCCCTGTATGTAAAATGCAAAAATAAATAAATAAATAAATATGACTAGCAAGTTTTCTAAATAATTCCATTGTATTTAGGACAAAATAATACAAATTGAAGCCAAAAAGTTAACATTGAGAACTATATGGGGGCTATACTTTCAATTTACATTAATCTATCATATTTCATAGGTTCAAAGTTCAATGTACATATTAGTTTGCTCAACTGAGTGATTTTCCATTTTAGCTTAACTTAAAATAGTCCTTAGTTGATCACTTGTGTGGCTTCTCATTTCTGAAAGGTTTCAATTAGAGATATATTTTTGGCCTGGCGCGGTGGCTCACGCCTGTAACCCACTTGCTTGGGAGGCTGAGGCACGAGAATAGCTTGAATCTGGGAGGTGCAGGTTGCAGTGAGCCAAGATCGCGCCATGGCACTCCAGCCTGGGCAACAGAGTAAGATAAAAAACAAAGATATATTTCGACAAAACGCAAAACTGAAAAGTTTCATATGAACATTTATCATTACTATTCTCATTATGTATCTGTACTTAGTATCCTCACCTTGGTTAAAAAAAAAACTAAAAATAGTATGCTGATTTTATCAGCTACAAAGAAAATTAATGATGCATTCCACACTGAGTCACAAAACGCACACAATGTGGAATAAGAGGACCTAAATGTGATTTCTGTCTCCTCCACTCTTTATACAACTTTAAGCAAGCTCCTTTAACTTTCTCAACCTGTTTTAACATTGGTTAATGGGGCTATCACCTACCTCAGTGTTGAGATGTAAAGAATCCAATCACATAGTACAATTCACCACTTTCTGAGCACAGTAAATGAGCATGACTAATATAAAGACAAGAGAATCTTTCATAGCACAGCTCATCACTACACATTTTGAGACCTAACATGAATTAAATCACATCTCCTAAAATCTGCTGATCTAAATCAGCAATGTCTACCAGAAGCAATAAAAAGGAAGTCTCACACTAATTTTTTAGTAACCAATTTTGAGTGAAATTTTATACCTAAAATATCTCAAAATAATACTAGTTTACAAGGCTTAGAAGCCTTGTTTAAAAAATGAAAAGGAAAAAAAGCTAAAGTAAAGCAGAAAGTTTTTTTCAAGTAACCATTTTCAGTTTACTCACAATATTCAGACAAGGAAGTACAACAGCATGTTTTCAAATCTGTCAAGAGAGCTGAAAACTACTTGAGAGGCAACCGAGCAAAATGGTCATAGCTCTCTACTGAGAGGAGATGAGATTCCAGTTTCAACTGTCACTAATATTTAATAATTGACCTTGCACAAGAGTCTCTGTGCTTCAGTTTCCTAATCTATAAACGACTACTGAAAACTATAGAGAAGACTTTAGTACAATTTAATCTGGGCCTTACTTTGGCGAGGCAATCTAGAAAAGTTAATAGAATGGGCTAGGTAGCAACTGCCAAGGTTGGAATCCTGGTTCTGTCACTTATAAGCTGCGCAGTTTTCCCACAAAAAGCACTAAAGTACAGTTTACTTAATACTATCATTGATTTACCGTTTAAAATATTTCCCTAAAACACAAAATTGCATTAAAATACAGAAGCTGAGAAAGTTCCATCTTTCCAAATCATTTTACTGGCAGACACAGAAGTAGTTCATTAGAAAATATTAAAACTCTAAAACATGTTAACATAAGCCAAGTTTAATCAAAAGATTATATCACATAATATTACACATTAGAGACAACACTAAACACTTATTATAAGGTTAACTGTTCCCATCAAAATATCACACTTAAGGTAAAAATGAAACTTCTGCTACTTACAGGTTTTTTTCTAATCTATTACTGCTAATCACAACACAAACTTACGATATAACCATAATCCCCAAGAATAAAATTAACTCCAAGAACGATAAATCTGTAGAATTTAAAAATATAAAGTGAACTTCAAACAACTAAAAATACGTTCTGTAGAAGTTACAATCAACCAATAAGTATTTATCATATGCCAGGCTCTATGTTTAGATTAAGTACAAACAGCAAAGTATAAAGTTCCTCAAAGTTAGTCAAGTTCCAAGGACTTGAAATTTCAGGCAAGTACGTGCTTTATCATCACTTTTCACAAAATAAAAGCCACTCACCTACAAATGTTTGCATTTCCTTTTTGGACCATGTAGGAATACTTCCCACTGCCCACTAAAATTGTTTCCTATTCTCAGTTCACCCCATAAAAATGCCCAATCCAGTCAGTTCCTCACGTCAGGATCCTCACAGTACTTAAAGTGAACGGCTTCGAAAAAGGTATTTCATCAAATCACAAGGTTCAGTATTTTATGTTCAGTGACACCTACACCTGCAGATGCTACAACACATAACTGGGCTAACCTGGATCAAGTACCTAGTTGCACCAATTTATTTCTTCCCCTTAAAGTGTTGGTAGCAAAGGCAAACTCTACTTCTTCAAAAAGTCGGCTTTTTGCAATGCCCATTAGGCACAGAAAAGGGAAATTGATTGGTTCGTCATAGTTGCCCTACTTCCATTTCAGGTCCAAGTAAAAAAACTATTCCATAGAGAGTAAAAGGGGGCCACACGCAAATCAAGGAAGCAGAGGCTAAACTGAACTTTGTGATGACCACCATTTAAGCGAAAGGTGATGGGTGTGGGGGAGGGGATGACACAACTGAGCCATACAAGTGCAGCTTGAGATAAAAAGTCCACTTCATGAAGCAGTCAAAGTAGGCGGTGGGAAACAAACCGGGTCGGGCCGAGCAACAACCCCAGGTTGCTGACCGAGCTCGGAGGCGGAGGGCCCTGGAGCTCAGGGACCGGAGAAAGGAGACCTCGGGCAAACCACAGGATAACAAGAACCAGCAGTAATGTGGAAAGGCCAACGCTCCCACAGAGTAGCGTATAAGGGGACAGAAAAAGGGAGCGATGAGTTAGAAGGGAGTGACAGCAGGAGGGAGACCAGTGCCGGGGCGAGTGGCAAGTGGCAACTGCGAAAGGCGAGGCACGGGCAGCCGGAGGTGGTGGGACTCTGTTGAGTCAGCACAGCTCCTACTCTGGGGGCACTTGTAGGATCCCCGCCGCTCCTGGGCCCTGGAGCCCGCAGCGAAGGGTCAGGCCCACCTTCCGGAGAGATGATGTTCTCTGACGGGCTGGCGCCGGCCCCTTCCCCATTTCACAGGTAAACACTGGCCACCGTCGCCGCTTACCTCAGTTAGCATTATTACACCCCGGGGAAGTGAGGTCCTCCCTAGCCTCGCCTCATGGCAACAGCCGTAGCAGCAGCGAAAACTGCTCGGGCCGCTGCCAACGGCGGCAACTGCTCCTTCAGTCCTCTCCCGGGCGGCGGCTTTACTCGGCTTCGCTGGCTTCCCCCCGGCCCGGTCGCTTGCGACGGACGCGCCGCCATCTTGGAAGAGCGACGTCCGCGTCTCGCTGCAACGTGCGCTCCCATTGGCAGGCGCAGGGGCTGCCGGCGTCTCGTGACCGTCTCCATAGCGCTGGCGCGCGGAAAAGCGGAGGCGGGCGCTCGGCAGTCGACTTGGAGTTGATAGTCGGCTTGGCGGTGGCTTGGAGGACCCCGGGACAGGGTGCCTGGGCCAACTTGGGACCACTGGGAGTGCAGAGGGGCCCCAGCGCCCTAAACTCCTGGGAACACACGTGCGCGCCCTTGGGGCCGGCGCATCCTCCGCCGCCCACTAGCGTTGGCTGGCCCTGGGGAGGGGAGAGAATGCGAGAGGCCGACACTTCCGACTGATGGCCCTGCTGCTAGTCTCGGGGACAAAGCGACAGATTTCCTGTAGAAAAACTTCCCTCTCGCGTCTCCCTGGCCCCGCGGCGACCGAAGAGTTGGGGTTCTGCTTTCTTCTGGGATTTACGTGTTTCTTGAAACAGCTCCCTACGCGACCCTTTTCTCTTAAACTTTGACAGGAACTTTCCTTTGTCCCTACCAATCCTCAGTGAGTTCTTTACAGGGGTCCGAGACAGGTTGTAGATATGATACGGCTTATCGGCTTTACCCCGATCCTAGCAGAGTTAGGACTGTCGCTGATGTGATTGGCCAGCACCTGCCTAACAATGAAGGTTTAGTTATGCTACAAGTAAGACGCCTCTAAAAAAATGTAAAACAGGCTTTACGTTTTACCTGCTATCTCCACAGGTTTACTGGTTTCTTAATACAATATGCTTGTATATCAAGGTGAGCAAATTTCAGCAAATGTCGTAAATAGTCCCAACTTAAATGGAATTGAACTCTAGAAGTCAATGTGCATAGAAGTCCCTGAGACTGACGCCATTCTAGATCTACCACTAGATGGTTTGCGATGTACGGAATTAAAGGCAGTCACTTCTACCTGAATTGTGATGAAAGTAGTTTACCTGAACATGCTGGGAAAGTGTGCTACCCTGTTTTATATTAGAAACCAGTTTCCAAATAAATTGAAAAGTACATTTTCAGATTTGACATTAAAAACACCTCCATGTCATTCTTACAAGAGGTACAAAAGCTTTTTAGAAAACTAAAGCCAGGAGTTTCTTCCCTTTTACCAGAATCGTTTCCCTCCATTTAACAGTACTATTGTGCTAAATGAAATTTACTTAATACATTACTCTTATATTCTCAAAACAATAAGGGCATTACAAACCTTGTATTATCTCTATTGTGTCAAGGAAACAAAACAGTTCGTTTAAGCAGTCATGCAAAAAATTCAAGAAAAACTGATTTTGCTCAATTCAACTAATTGAAGCAAAGTAGTTTTTCTTTTTGTTTTAATCTGCATTTTGTACATCATTTCCACATTGCTAAACCAGCAAAATTCTGACCTCTGCAATACAATAAAATGTGTTACTGATATTGACAGATTATGCCACGAATAGAAAATTAGCGTGGAAATCCTACCTGGACTGAGGTATCAAAGGAAACCAAGAGATACTAGAGACAACAAGGAACCTGGAAAAAGATAGTGTTCCAACCTGTAAATAAGAAAACAGAGAAGGAGGCTCATGAATATTTAAGATACCAGCTAGTGAATTAAAACTGCAATGTAGTTGTCTGGCTTGAGTGTTCAGTTTTATTCATACATCTTTTTACTAGAAGCAAGTCATTTCACTTATTTTAAAGGTAGTAAATTAAGTGTTGACACTTGAGGTTTGAACCAATCATAAAGATGCCTTTAACATTCAGAAGTTTGTCTACAGACTTAAGAGGAAACCAAAAGTATTAGCTCTTCCAATGGCTTCCTAATTTTCTCAGCCAGAGTCTTTTCTGCAACCTAAAAATTCAATGCTAGCTGGCCTCACAAGTCCTACCTCACCTCCACCCCTCTGACCTCATTTCTGCTATGCACTTTGTTCCAGCTACACAGACCTGCTCCCTGCTTCTATAACACCAAAGCATCTCCTTGCCCTGAGGCCCTTGCACTGTGTATAGTTTCTATCTGGAAAGATCTTTCCACCAAATACCTGCATGGCTAGATCTTCCACTTCTGTCCAATCTTTGCTTAAAAGTCATCTTTTTTCAAAGAAGCCTACCCTAATCATCTCATTTAAAGTATTGCCCCTTCCCCAGAATCCTCCCTTCCTTGCTTCTGTTTTTTTCATAGTGCTTACCTTCTAACACCGTCATTTTCTGTTTTTATTTTCTATTGCCTTCCCTCCACTAGAAAGTTAGCTCCACAAGATCGGGGATTTTTTTTTTCATTTTGTTGAATGTTTCCTTAGTACCTAAAATACTCGAATAGTAGATGGCACAGAGTAGATGCTCAATAAATATTTCTTAAGTGAATAAATGAATGGATGAATGATTGCCTAAAAGACACCAAAAGGAAAAGACCTAATTAAAACTGTTTAAAAAACAAAATCCTTGGTGTTGAAAGATTAAATTATTTAAATATTGGCCATTGTGTGTTCTCTTCCAATTAATAGGAACATCACTTCTGCCACTAGAATGTTAAAAGTGTGTGACAGGCTGGGCGCAGTGGCTCACGCCTGTAATCCCAGCACTTTGGGAGGCCAAGGCGGGCGGATCACGAAGGTCAGGAGAGCGAGACCATCCTGGCTAAGACGGTGAAACCCCCTCTCTACTACAAATACAAAAAATTAGCTGGGCGTGGTGGCGGGCGCCTGTAGTCCCAGCTACTCGGGAGGCTGAGGCAGGAGAATGGCATAAACCCGGGAGGCGGAGCTTGCAGTGAGCCGAGATCGCGCCACTGCACTCCAGCCTGGGCGAGAGCGAGACTCCGTCTCAAAAAAAACAAAAACAAAAAAGTGTGTGACAATTGTTACTTCCACTAGAATGCTACAGAAAACTTTATGACAAAATTGTGAGCTATGCCTTTTCCTTCACCTTTTTTCTCTTCTATTTTTTTTAATTTTTGTAGAGATGTGTTCTATGTTGCCAGACTAGTCTCTGGACTCCTGGCCTCAAGGATCCTCAGGCTTTGACCTCTGAAAGTGCTGGGATTGCAGGCATGAGCCACCACACCTGACCTCCTTCACTTTCTTAAATACATCTTGGGCATGAGTCAAAGTTAATTTGCTGGTAAGGGAAGCAACAAAGCGATTAAGGTATACTATATAAGAGTTATGGAAATTAAGGAGTTATATAGTTGGAAAAGAGAATGCTTATAGACACAACTGGCTTTAAAAAAAAAAAAAAAAAAAGCACCTAATTTGATACAGATTCAATGTCTTAAAACCATCCTATTCCTATCAGTTGTTACAGAGGAAACGTGGGACAGGGTGATCTGAAATGCCTGGTTCTTTGGCTATCAGAAATTAAAACAAAGCAAGCTATCTTAAGAAGCACGTGATGAGGATGCATCTGTGACTATTACTGCAAAAGGTTTGATTCCTCAACAGCCGTGTCCAGTCTGTCTGATTAACACAGGAAAGCATGACAAAAAGAGGTAAGAGGCAAAAATCGAGTGTAAGATGTTTTTAAACAGGCCACTGCCAGTGATTTCTAAACCTACAAGCAAATATTCGGAATATCCAAGTTGCCTGTTTTTTAATTTTGAAACAAAAACAATTTCTTCTACATATTCAGGTTGTCACCAATTGGCTCTAATTGCTTTTTGAGAAACAGGAAAAGTATGCCTTTGACCTCCTAGGCAAATTGCATCTAGCAAGCAGTTATCTCATTTAATCTTTTGATGCCTTAAAGCATTCTATTAACTCCAGTTTCTTCATAATGCAATATTATCAGTGTCATCTACCATCTCTACTGAACATTAAATACTATATACTCATTAACAAGGACTGGTGTCAAAGCCTGCAAATTGGTATTGAAATAATGCATTGACAACAGAGAAGACATCCTAAGAACAGGTAAGAGTTGGATATCCTCATTCTTTTTACAGCTTTAATAGGGCAGTAGTAAGCAGAAATCTCAGAGCATTTAAGAGTACTCTGAAGTCTAGCCCAGCATGTGCTTTTCTCTTGCATGATACTTTTTGAGGCAATTTTGAGCCAACTCAAGACAGAAAGACAGAAGCAGAAATAATATGAGGCTTTACTAACAAATACAGCCATAACAAAATAATAATGTACACAAATGTCTTCAATATTAGCTCTGCAATGCAAAGATCTAAATAGAAAGAACTGCATTATAAATTTGTAAAAGTCTACAAAATAATTAAGAGGTATTACTACATCAGTGACACCTCAGTCAATCATTTTGAAAACAAAAATTTAGAGCCCTTTTCAAACATTTAATTCTTAATTATGGATACTGTTTTTCAGTATCTATTATGGGCCAGGCACTGGTGGTAGACATTTTGCATGTATTATATTTAACATTTGAAAAAGATCATTACAGTAGATCTTACTACCCTTAGACGCCACTAGAGGTTGAGTAATTTAGTATTTCCTTTTAACATACTCCCATCAATGTGGTATGGTTTTTCGTTTGGTTAGTTTTGTTTTTAAGCACATGCTTACTTTCTAGTACTATAAGATGCCCTGGGGTCATCATGCCCCAGGTCTAGAATCAGCCATATGTTTCAGAAATCTTGGTGTCTTTTGTTGGAGAATGGTGTCAGAAACCAAAATCTAGGCTCAAGAAGTGCTATTTGCTGCTTGGGTGTCATTTCTTTTAAGACCTGGTAGCTGACAGAGCAAGGAATTAACTACTTGTATACTAACCCTTGTATATATACCTGTGTATAAATATTTCAGCATGTAATCATTTGTATTTATATTAAGCTAAACATGAATTCATACTGGTATCCAACTCTAATCCATTATCAGATGGATCATTCTAGTCTCTTCCCCTTGCTTATCTGTATGTAATTTCTACTTCGACAGTGAGAAACCTGACACCTAACATCTACCATCCATTTACTTAATTGTTCAGTTTCAAAATACATATATAGCAATTTCAGAATTGTTAACCCATACCCCCATGGGAAACAAATTTATCAACTAGAGTACATTGCCTATGTGCAGTTCCTTCAGTATAGACCAATTCCTTATAGACCAATCATTCCTAAAGTCACTTAGTTCAGCACCTTTTCTCCCAACCCTTTCATTGAGATTGTTTCATACATTTGTGATACATTTAAATTCTCTTGTCAAAGTCAGCATTCTTTCCTGAGATTTGCCTACCTCCTAAATGATTTGATTTTTAATTTGCATACATTTTCACTCTTTGTGCTGCAAAGTTCTACAAGTTCTGACAAATGCATTATGTCATGTCTCCACCATTGTAGTATCATACAGAATAGTTTCATAGCCCTAAAACATAAAGGAAAAGAGAAGTACATAACGAAATTGCTTTTATATGTTTATCTGTAGACCCAAACAACTGATCATTGTATTGAATAAACTTCACTTGAATCAGAGATATTTATATTGATAAATAATATATAATCGATTTCTCTATAATACCTAGTTACCTAATACTTGTTAAAGTCTTACCATATACTAGTAGCTGTTCTAGGTGCTTCACAGCAATCCTATAAGATAGGAACTGTTATTATTTCCATTTTACAAATGAGTAAACTGAGGCTCAGAGAGTTAAAATTTTTTGCTGAAGTTTACACAGCTAGTAGAAGAGCCAATATTTAAAGAAAAAATGATACATTTATACATAACTGTATATATGTGTAAGCTTATCTATATGTACATATATATGTTATGTGAAGTTGTATGATTCAAAATTGTATACTGTATCAAGTATATTAATTGAGCTAACTTTAAGAACTAAAAATTTTCAACCATCTTTGTCCTTCATTTTTTATGTGAATCGTAAATGTTGTGGTGGGTCCTTGAACTCCTGTTTTTGCCTTTAGCCAAAGGAGGAAATGAGGAAAGGAATCAGTACTCATAGATGAAGCTTAATACCTGCCTATATTTAAGGCTTACCTCAGCTAGTTTCATTTTTACAGAAGAAGGGTGAAATCAAAGGCTTTCATTATATTGCTTCCTGTTTTACTATTTTAACAACTAAGGT